TCAATTTATATGTGAGCGATGATATGTTGACATATACTGCTGAAAGGTAATTTTAGTAAATTTTTCATATTTAGGATCTTCTCAGAGTTTCTTCCTGCTGACATTCTGATTGGAAGAACTCTCTTTGTTTAGGGTGGTTTATGGTACACGTCAAATGAGAAATAAAACCTAATACTTATGTTTCGAAGGGAAAAGATGCAGACAAGGATCGTTTCCTACCATGTGTAACCATTTCTAATGGATTTGGGTTCCTTACAAAATATGCTAGATACTTTTATTTGTTGTATCTTATTGGTTTTCCTCATTAGCGTGCCTTGTGTAACCAGGAACATGGTATGCTTTACCATTATAAAAGTACCAGTGTGTTTCAAAAATCCATTTGCTAAATCCACTTGTGGCATTCATTACGTTATTCAGTGTCATTTGTTACTATATATATATATATATATTTGATTATTTGTTATCAAATCTTTCCAGGATCTTCTTCTTTAGTGTGTGTTGGGTTTGGGTGGCAAGCCTGTGAATTTGCATGCCAATTCTCATATCAAGTTTAATTTGCTAACTTTGCATGCCAATTCTCATATCAAGTTTAATTTGCTAACTTTGCATGTTTCTTTGGAAATTTGTTGACTGTTTTTCCTTATTGTAGGTGTCCGCACCTCAGACGGCTTGTGCTGCTAGCTTGGAATAGAATAAAGAAATCTGGAATATGCAAAGCTATTCAAAGCTGGAAGGAGCTTGAATCACTGACAATGTCTAGCATAACTGATCCCGAATATCTCATGGAAGAGATTGCAAACAATTGCAAGAACTTTTTCGAACTCAAAGTGATGGGCCCTTTTGAGGATAAATTTGCTTCTGTCCTAGTTAGGTATCTTCCAAAGTTAAGAGTTTTAAGCCTCCGATGCTCAATGCTGACAATGAAAGCCTTGATTATTATCTTAGATGGCTTACACAGCCTAGAAGTGCTCAACATATCACATTGCCTGATTGAAGGACAAAAAACTCCTGCTTCAAGAGGAATTGTCAAGGAACTTGATGAATCTATTTTGAAGAAGGCATCTCAGTTACATGAGTTCAAAACGTGCATGAAAGACTCATGCATCCTGTGCCAGCGGACAAAAGCTGATGAAGGGCTGCTGAGGTGGTACAAGTATGAAGAAGGGCTATGGAAAGCAGATGAGGTCAGCTCCCTTGCCCTTTGACTGGAGCCTTCTTACATTGTATTTTGGGGACTAAACCATCTGATCCCCTCCCCCCTTTGGCCTGAACATTCTGAGACTGTTTCT